GAGGCGGGGGGGGGTGGGGGGAGGAAGGTAGTAAGGAGGGAAAAGGAAGGGAAGTGAGAAGGGAGTCAGATGGGAAGAAAAGGAGGAAGGAAGTTGGAAGGAAGCAGAGTTACAAAGGAATCTGTGCACTTTTGTAACTGTTTTGGGTTTTTTAAATACATCTTTGGTGATGCTTTCTGTGCATTAGAGATTGCTTTTTCATCAAGGGTAGTCACTGGAAAACTCTGAAGGAAACTAAGAAAAATCTGATTAAAAATAACAAACACTTCTACCCTCTGATAGTCTGCAGAATTATTCTTACACTGTTTTCAGCTGGTTAGCACTGCTGCATTTGGATAATGCTGGACAGTAATCAGCAAAATAGGATGTGGGAAGTTTAGGGTAATGCAATTGTGCTGCAGAAAGTATAATACTTAGTTTCATTGAAGAATTTGAGACAACATCATGAGAAGTATGATAAACTTATAAAATAGGTAAAAAAGACAGGTATATGTAAGGTAGCAGAGATGAAAAATATAATTAGAGGAACATAGAAAGCAATATAATTAAGAAGAATAGGCTTTGTGTCTGCTCACAGCTCCTACCTGAAGCCCACAGAGTTGCTCACATGGATTTCACTTTCTTTAAAAACTCCAAATACTTGGCCTTTTGACTCCCTCCTGTATTTTTCAGGACTGTTCCTGAAAGCAGACTATTCAGAAACTGGACTGATGCAAGGCTAGGGGAACAGCGGCTCAGCACCCAAAGTGTTTCTCAGATAAGAGAAGCAGCTGACCTGCTGGAATTACTAACTTTTAGTCACTTTGAGCTTCTGCGGGTTGTGAAAATTAGTATGTGGGCTGGCCTCAGAGGAAAACAGTCTTCTCTGATAAACTGGGCAGACTGGGAATTCACTATGGAAAAGAGCACCGTGATCACACAAATCTGTTCCTTTGGCTCCTTGCAGAGTTGCAGCTACGAAGCTCCTGAAGTTGTAAATACACCTTTACCTTTCTTAACTCCTTATGGGAATATCCAGCTCTGCAGTTTTGACCAGACACTATATAATGTATTGGTTCATGAATATTTATTAGTATGCATTCAATCTACTCCAAATGTAGCAATGTATTTGAGCTGCTGGCAAAAGCAGGCTTTGAAACAGAAGGAGGAGAGAGGAGAAGCAAGTTGCCTCGGTAAGGCAGCAAATTCTCAGCGATGCTGTCAGGCTTTGTGCCAGCAAAGGCTCGAGAGTCTGAGCTTCGTTTTTAATATACATTATCAGGACATGCCTGGCCAGTTCATTGCAATGCTGGATGCAGACGTTCTCCACACCACAGAAAAGACAAGGATGAGCTCCTGCATAACTTTGGCACTCGTACCAGAGACCCTCGGTGTGGGAGATCTGGTTTGACAACCAAACGGCGACTACCCCAGGCTAAAAAGAAAAACAGGGCCTCCCACCTGTGCTGTTTCAGCCCCAGCACCCCCCCAGCTGCTGGGTGTACCAGGAAGCGCTCCTGGGGGGACACGCAAACAGAGGACAGACCTGATGGAGTTGTTGGTCACGTCAGGGTCCTTGGCAGAAATGATCTGTATGGTGGTTCCAATCTCCACATCCTCGGGCACTTCCACAAAGTAGATGCTGGGCTCAAACACAGGAGGTTCATCCACATCCTCTACTGTGATATGGACAGTGGTAGTGTCACGGAAGGGACCCAGGTTCAGAAACCTCATTTCCAGGTGGGGGTTGGCACCCTCTACTTTCAAGGTGTAGCTTTTCTTGCTCTCGAAACTTAAAGGCTGAGGAAAAAAAAAATAACATTAGGAACAGCGAGTCATATGATTTAGGCTACATGATTTTAATTTTTAAAAGATGACCTCTAATAACAAATGATGCTTCTTTTTAAAGATAAATATTGACTATGATTTTTAATCATAAGGGTAGCAAGGATAAGTATTTGCAGTGAGTGACAGTAGTATTAGAAATAGAACTGCCTTAATATTTTCTTGCTCTTTTACTTTTTAATCTTTTTTAAAAAATTTTTTCCTTTCCTTTTTAATTTGTCAGTTGAACTGAAAAAGCCAGAGGAAATATTTGCAGATCCCTTCAGAATACACATTCTTTCGTTCTTCTTGCTGAAATGAAAATAAAAGTGGCCACACCACCACTGTGTCATGATTCACACAAGTGTTTCACGGCATTCTGAGGAAATACAGGCAGAAGCAGACAGCATGGGAGCACCTGAATATAAGGTAAAGATACAAAGAGTTGGTTTCCCAAAACTGGTATCAGGGACAAGGATATTCACACATGAGGTGGAGGTCCCAACTAATATCCCCTTTTCTTTCGGAGGAGATTGAAGTCTTGCCTCTAGAGTGCTCTCTCTGCCAAGCTGCTAAAGGGCCTCAGTGAGAGCAGGGAACAGGTCAGTCTCTCCTGTGGGATTCTGCCCCATTTTGTATGAGTAACCCATCCTTCCTGGAAGTGCTTTTTTTTCACCTCCTCAGTAAGTGTTTTAGAAACAGGTTCACAGTCCAGAAGTGCTGAGAACTAGGATTTGAATCTCTTCCCTGTCTAGAGGGAATTTCAAAGCACTGTGAGCTACCCCTGACCTCTTTCACCTTGTATGAAATACTCAGGTGTTCAAGTATTAATTGGCAGTGAGAAAGGCTCTTGGGAGTGAGAAAGGCTCTTTTTGTTATTTTTTTTCCTTTTTCCCTATGATAATGGATAAACGGGGGCCATATTCCTCTGTTAGTAGTTTCATGAATTTGATTTCCTATCTAGATAAGACTATTTATTTGGTGAACATGGATATAGAAATAATTAATGCTGACACTGAACCTCTCAATAAATAGATTTTTCATCTTTTCACAGGTCCCTGAAGGAAATAGAGCCTCTCAAAACCTGCTTAGAACTAAAAGGAGAATTCCTTATTTAAAGTGTAATTTACTGGTCTCAGTAAGAGATAACTAAAAGCATCTGACATACCAGAATGACAGTATGGAATGATCATTCCAAAAGACACAGATAATTTTTAACAGATGAAGGACACCTTACAGAGGACATAGTCATACTTCCCAAATTGTAATCAGAAGTTGCAAGCCATCCCGCTGTGATTAAGTGGTCACACCTCTTTACTTGTAATGCTGAAAACCAGCACAAATGGATCCCATTAGCTGGCACAGGTCCTGAGCAAGACAAACTTTGTACCAGGAAAGAAGTAGCCCAATTCTCAGGATCTCCCAGTGGGACATACTGCTTTTAACTGCATGAATGGCTTTCAAAACATGTGACTTTATTCGTACAAAGGGATTTGAGCATCGTGTGTGGAACTACCATGCAAAGGTTCAGCTGATCATATTCCAACAAGATCACTGCTGTTCCCATCCAGTGCCTTTGATTTTCCTATTCAGCTCTTTCTTTTTGAAGACCTACCACTAGACAGAAGCAGGGAGATGGGCAGAAATACAGAGAGGGAGGAGGATGTCGAAACAACCAGAAGTCAAAGGTGTGAAAATAATTTCTGCAGCAGTGAAGTCCTCCTTGGTCAGTCATAACTCATTTCTTTTCTGTCCTGCTCAATTGTGCAGCTGGGCAATTCTGCAGCCATGAGATGTATATTAGTGTAAGCAATATCAGCAAAAGTTTCACATGCTCAGGCATGGCAGGGTTGTACACTATGGGCCTCAAAACACCCCCTGAATTCAGAGAAAGCTTCGGTACCTGTCTACTGCCACAACAGCTTCTTTCTTCAGAAGTGGAAACATGACAGTGACGTAAAAAACCTCATGCTTTCACAGTAAAATTACCAGTATGGAGGCTCTGCATGTGAATGCCTGATGAAAGACTGGAGTTCTTGAAATTACAAAAAATAGAATTCAGTCAGCATTAACTACATGAAGGTGAGGAATGAAGATTGGAGTGAGAACAGGTTTTCTTGTGCTGGGGAAGATGACAGTAGAGTATTACTGGAGATGCTGTGCAGTGACACAGTATGAACTGTGCAACCTGTGGCAGCAGGTGCAGACAGATGATCTGAAACTTGCTCCTGCTGCCCTTAGTTACACCCTGTAAATCAGTGACTACTGCAGGCATAGTGCTTGTCAGCAAGGATTTAGCTAGGTCTACAAACATATTACCCATTACTGCAGAGTCATTATGGTCTACCCATTGCATATTTATGCATTGTAAAAATAGCAATAAAATATATTCACATGAACAAGCAACACTTATTGCCCATCTGGTAAGGAATGTGCAGTGCAAAGCTGCCTAAACACATATTAAGAAAGAGGTAATAATATTTCATAGTTTCTCATGTGAAGAAAATTGTGAGGAACATTGCATGTACACTAAAAAGCTAAGTTAAAAAAGAGCAGTTAAACCACAGAAACACTTAATAGCCATGAAACCCAACTACCTTAGGAAAAGACATCATCACTTTGGATGATCAAGTTAGAAAAATGAGAAAAATAAAGCAAGTGTGCAAGGCCAGCACATTTTTTTATGCTCCTGGATGCAGACACCCTCAGTTTGCCTTGGATTCCTTCATCGTCAACCATGGCTTTCCTTCCTGATCCTCTCACGTGCCAATGCCTCCTCATTGCTGCCCCTCTCATTACATTTGTCTTCCACAGGTGCATTGAAGCCTCCTTCCAACCCTGGTCCCATGGGGAGGGCAAGCAAACTGAGCTTGCTGCGAAACACAGCCAAAAGGAGAGGTACCCCAAGGCAATCTCTCCTTGTCCTCATTCTCCCTTCCCCTGGTGCTGAAACAGGCACACGTTGTAGGTGGGATTTAGCAAGAGCTGCTGTGAAAATGTGAGTGAGGGGGCAGCAGCCAGGCAGGAGGGCTCATTTTTAATTTTTTTTTAGTTGAGTGGAGCCAAAGGGCAAGTTTTCTAATGTTTGGCTATCGATAAGCATAACATTACAAAAAGCTACAGGCATATGCAGAATTTTATAAACATTTATGCACACTAGATGCATTGAGCAGTATGTACCTGATGCCAGTACATATCTAGTATGATTGATGCCATAAGTTTTTTATTACTCCTCCTCCTGACATATGTGAACATCTAGTAAACCTGTATTCATAATAACAAAAGTTAAGCTTATTGAAACATATACTCCAAATAAACTGTTTTCTTTCATTGATAAATGAGTGAAAAATTGCATTAGACTTTGCATTCAACATCTATTTCATTCTAGCAAACATGTTTAACTTTAGGGACTAGTGTGCATAAACAAGAGCTGGAGAAAGGTGACCATAAATATATGCTTAAATGCTTTGCTGTAGGGCATCGAGGTTTGCAGGGTCAAATCTCTCCCATGTGTTGTTCCATTGTAGTGCACAATGTAGTCCCAGGCTATTTAAATGGAGACTATACTTCCTTATTAGTACAATAGATATGCTTGAGCAGAAACATGGTTACAATTTCATAACCTAGAAGCAGAGTTGAACTTCTAACATTTATGTAAGACTGTAGAATAAATATCCTATAGCAGGGAGTCTAAGCAAAATACTCTATGTCTTCCTGCATAGCCTGCGGTACAGAGCACTAGGAGTTTCACAGCTGCCATTTTTGAGACAGCTTCTTCTAACCTAATTAGCATTTATGGATCTTCAAGCAGCAATTAAAAAAAAAAAAGTGCCTGGGTTTTATTGGTTTATAAATCATTCTAAGGCATGCTTTATTATTGTTTGTGGGACACCGGAGTGAAAAATGTGTACAGTTCAAATGCAAATATTGATCTAATTTCTTGCATTGTAGGATAATTAAGCTACAGAGAATATTTAAATAGATGAATAGTGAATCAGATAATTCCTTCAGTGGGAAAAGACAAGTTTATGCTAATGCTGTCCCCACTTTTAAAAGATTGCTCCTAGGAATGCAGTCTGCTTTCATATTTTAGCAATGAATGTTAAAGAAATGGTGGTTTATAGCAGGAAAGGGGCTACTGTCATGCAATGGAAGCCAAGATTCTACAGGCATAAGGGACTACAGCAAACATAAAACATAATCAGGGCTGTTAGCCATATAAATTACTATAAAAAGGAAACTTTACTACCTTTCTCACAGTTATGATGCCAACTTGATAACTAGGATCAGTGTTAATGTCGAAGACATCCAGTCCATCTCCATCCACCAGGCTGTATTTCATCTCTGCATTAATGCCCTCGTCCAGGTCTTTAGCCACCACACGACCCACAGTGGAGCTGACGGGAGCAGACTCCAGCACACTCATCTGATAATGCTCTGGCACACGGAGTAGGGAGGGAGAGGGGAGAAACAAGAAGGCTGTGAAAAGGAACCGAAGACTGCAGCCATGCAAAGGGCAGGCCACAATACTGCATAGCCTGCAGGGAATTCCTAGGACCTTTCCCAAAAATGTAACAGCAGGTGATTTCCTTTAAAAAGCCACAGCCCAGCTGAATTGCCTGGGAAAGTTTTATTTAGGTGTTTTTCATATCAACAGGTTTGTTCAATGAGTTCTTTTCAAAACAGCAATACACCTGAAAATGGGAACTTCAGCTAGAAAAATATGGCAATTAACACCAGTGCTGTTGCAGCCATGATATAAAGCCAGATATGAAATGGAATTAATAGAAGAGGAATATTTTATGAGATCAGCTTGTACAGTGGGAATAAACACACAAGTTTTAAGAATGACAAATCCTTTCTTCAGTTTGTATAAGTTTCTTCTTAACCCTGAAAAAGGCTCTGAGAGCTCAGAAGGCAGGAGGTTTCTTCCAAATTCACCAGTTACTCTATTAAAATATACTACCTCTTCCTACAAACCCAGTCTTGAAAACATTTAGTGCATCACTAATTTGCTTAGCAGCAAGCCTGGGGAAAGAGAAAACTGCTATTTTAAAAACATGTTTTAAAAATACAAATTATTTAAATGTCAATCCATATTGTCATTTACATTTGTGTTTAGAAATACAAACACAAAATGCTTCTCTGCCACCACACTTCATGTTCAAACCTTCCTTGCTGCACTCTCTCTGTTACTCAGTAATCCGTTATTGAGCTTTATACATCATAATTACATTAAAGGTGGGGTTTGATCCATTATCATTTTTCTTAACCAGGAATTTGGTATCAAACAGTTACAATTCACGGCACTTTCAAAATGAGATTGGCAGTGGTGCATTCAACAGGTTGCTCTGCCAGAAGAAGGGAAGTGAAAGCGGATGTTTCTTGCTGATCTTGGTGGAGTGCTTTGATTTAGGAGTGCAACATGAAGAAACACATGGAGAAGAAGAATAGCAACAAAAAGAACTGCGGGAGTTTTCATTTCTCAGCTAGATGAGAAAAATGGCTTGAGACAGATCTACAGCAAAAGAGTTGGCTTTCTTTAAAAAAAAAAAAGGGAAAAAAAGATGTCTTGAAAGATTTTGTTCAATCAAATCTGAAAAGTTTGTTTCAACTTTTAACACAAATATAGAATTATGTAGGCAAATTTGCTTTAAAAGAATTTTAAAAGAAAGAACAAAATATTGCAAATCTTGTTTTGAGATTCACTTGTGTAAATACATTTATGATAGGAGTGGAGTTGCCTGTTTTTGCATTCCATTAGCTGTGGCTGTTCCATATAGGGTTTAACTGTGTATTGCCAAGGTTTAGATGAATCTTTCCTGGAGGGCAGCCTGTTCATGACCACACATTCCATACTGGCAGCACAGCTACTAGACGCTCCCCTGCAGTGGCCTGGCTGGAGCAGTGCATGAATTGTCATTCAACTTCCAGCACTGCCACATGTCCATGATTTGACAGACATGTTCTTGGAGGTAGGATAAAAAGTGAATCAGGGCAGCAACTAGCACTAAAGACAAGCCATAAGCAGGCTAGGAACACAAATGATCTTTTTTTTTTTTCCTTTTTCTGTACATTAATTTCCCATCCTTTAAAAAAAAGGGGTTGTTTTTGATGATTTTGGCACTCAGAAACCTCTTCTGAAAGAGAAGCTAGTGAACGTTCCTTTTTGACATTTTCTGAAGGGAAGCTCCTTCTTTGATCCAAAACTCTTAATTGTCCCTATCCTCACTTTGAAAATGGCTGTAATGGCAGCAAACAGCAGCTGTGCAACTCAGTCGCCCCTTTTTGCCTGTCCTGGCACGGTGAGTACTCACTCTGTGGAAATCTGGGTGGATTGTCATTGACATCAGAGAGGGTGATGTTGACTGTGGTTGTTCCAGCTAATCCTCCCAGCTGTCCACCCATGTCCTTGGCCTGGATAATCACTTCATAATATTCTTTTGCTTCTCTGTCCATGTTCATTAGAGCTGTCCTAATTAAGCCTGTGAGATTGAGCAGGGGAAAGGGGTTTTGGGAACAAAAGAAATGTTCAGTTAGAGAGTGCACAAACAAGGTTGGGTGGTCTTGCTCCTGCATCATATTCCCTATGACCAGAACGAGACCAGAGTCTGCATTCAGTTTCACCTTTCTTGGCAGAGTAAAGCTCACCCAAACTAAATCTAGGTGAACAGAAGGTTTGTATTTTAAAGAAGCCCAGCTAAAATGCATCTGCTCTGGGGAAGACTATCTGTTCAAAATTAAGAAGTTGCCTTCCAAAGGAGCTGGAGAAAACATTTTGGGAGCAGAGTGTTATGCACTGAATTAAGGCCATGCTCAGCTTAAGTACAACTACACAAAAGGTGGAAGGGATGTGATTAGTTAAGAGATGTATCAAGAAGAGTTTTCTGGAGTGTTCCCACACGCTCAGTCCTGGAGGCAACCTGACAAAAGCCTCAGCTCGGGTCCCTCAGGACCTCCTTGGGGAGGATACCTCTGGTTGCTCCTGCAGCGGGAGGGTGCTCCCCTTGCTCCCCCGAGCCTTTCCTTCGGGGGAAGCAGTGATACTACTGCAAGAGGACGTGAGGTGGCAGCAACACTTCTCTGACGGAGGCTGCGGGGAAGCGGCCGCCGCGCTGGGACCCGCGCTCTGCCCGCAGCCCCGGGCTCGCCTCTCCCGAGCCTGCCGGGCGCCTGGGATGCTCCTCTTGCCTTTTGCATGGCCTTCAGGCCTGAAGCCTGAATCCTGCCCTGCCCCGTGTCTGTCCGCTGGGACTGAGCCACACAGGCTGGCATTTCAGAGATGTCCAACTTCCAGGCATAGAACCATAGAATCATTTTGGATGGAAAAGACCTTTAAGATCATCAAGTCCAACTGTCAACCTAGCACACTGCCATGTCCACCACTAAACCATGTCCCTAAGCACATGTACATGTCTTTTAAACACACCTCGAGGGATGGTGACTCAACCACTTCTCTGGGCAGCCTGCTCCAGTGCCTGACAACCCTTTCAGGAAAGACAGTTTTCCTAATATCCAATCTAAACTTCCCCTGGCACAACTTCAGGCCATTTCCTCTTGTTCTATCACTTGTCACTTCGAAGAAGAGTCCAACTCCCACCTCTCTACAACCTCCTTTCAGGTAGTTGCAGAGAGCGATGAGGTCTCCCCTCAGCCTCCTTTTCTCCAGGCTAAACAGCCCCAGTTCCCTCAGCTGCTCCTTCTAAGGCTCCTTCCAGACCTTTCACCAGCTTGGTTACCCTCTCCAGCACACCTGCCTGGCAGGACTGCTCAACAGGCTGCTTGGCTGCATAAGGGTCCTTGAGCAGGAGAGAAGCAGCGGCTGGAGATGCAGCCCAGGGGAGGCACTGCCAGGGGACATGTTCTAGGGCACCAATGGCCCCGGCTAGACACTAGCTGTGAAACATTTGGGGTGCCAATCTGTGTGTGGGCAAATATGTGTCAGCCCCAGGTACCATCCAAGTTGCATGACATAACGTGCAGCACTTGCACATTAGGACACTATTAACTTGAGTGATCTGCATTTAGTCTTTATTTTTAGCAGAAAGATAATTTATGGATTTAATAAATAAGCAGTAAAAAGATATTGCATTGGCAATTATCACTGTGTGTAGAAGGGAAGAAATAGTGACCAGTTCTGAACAATTCACAATGTGCTATTTTAATCTTGCTACATGGAGTCCTTAAGAATCTCATCCCGTAAAGTTGAGTGACTCCCATGAAGTGCTGTAGCTCCTCAACTCCCAAGGATATAAATAAGATATGAAAATTCTTAGCATTTTGGGAAATATTTTCTACACATACAAATACTCTGTAGGGAATTTCACTCTTGTCTTGTCCTTAATACAAAACAGGCTAGGTCTAAAAAAAGGCATCTATGCCTAAAAGCCAGGCTTTCCCATGTCCTATGTTTGGTCCTTAGAGGAGGGTTAGTCTAGGACATAAGGGCTCAGGGCCAAGTTGAGGTTCATGCCCCTACAAATGGGATCCAGAAGAACAGCCATGCTCAGCAGGGAGCCTCTGATGCTACTGCACACAACTTGTCAGCAAGAAAATGCTGAGGATGGTGATGAACCTTAAAACCTTCCTTAGGGCTATGGGCAAGGCTCAGATTCTCAGATCTTCCAAACTAAAGATGCTGGTACTATTTATTTCAATAAACTTAGTGAGGTCCACTCTTTAAAAAAAACCCCAGTAAAACAAACAAACAAAAAACCAAAACCAAAAACAACAAAAAACTAGTAAAGAGCAGAGGTGATATCCTTTATTTCCTCTATCAGCCAGATGGTTTTCTAGGGAAGTGGGAGGCCAGGAGCCTTTGCCTAGTCTGCCACAGGGGACTTAAATCCATGTTTGTTACCTTCTAAGAGAATATGATCATGGACAGGCTGTAAAAGTATTCTGGAACAAGGAAGGAGGGCCTCAGCTTTCCTTTGAAGTTGTGCCATCACTTACACATTCATTCAGCGCCTGTGAGTCCAGTGACAGAACTCAAACAGGACCATGCTTCTGGAACCAAGGGGTTGTGTTGAGAGGTGAAGAATAGGGACCTCAAACATTTCTAGCAGAAGAGTGTATTGAAATAGGTTTCTCGCTATTGAGTGTGTTAACCACTACACGTCAATAAAAAGGAGCTGGTGATCATCTATGCTCCAGCTCTGTTTTAGAAGAACATGAGAGTTACAGTTGCATCTTGCAGGTTGGACCTTCCGACTCCTAATATTCTGTGATTGTGGGTTACCAAATCCTGCAGGTGTATTTGCACTTGGGGAAGGCAATAGGGTCCTGTGCCTGAGGTGAAGAAGTATGTTCTGGCTCACAACTGCACTTGGCCTAAAAGGGTGCCCTGTTGCCCATTTGTGAAGGCTGAGGCAGCTCTGGACATGTCCAGAGATGCAAGTCTAAGTGATTGGGAAACTAATAAGTGGAGAAAAATACCTTTTTTGGGTTAAATATCAATCAAGGCCCTTTTGTACTTAAGGGCATGTCTTCTGTCTTAAGTTGCACTTTAGCACTTAAATCTGTACCAGATCTGACCCTGAATATTGCTGTTTTGCTTTCTGAGAAATTATTCAGTACTTAGCAGATCGATGATTATGCTCTTATTTTTCTGTGGTTGATAACCTGATCACAAAATGGACCTTACCATCTTATTTATATTGTAATGGGATGAGGAAATAGCATGCCACATACAGGCTAGAGCACCCACTCCACAAACTGCTAACTTTCAGAAGCAGATTATGCAGCGTTTTCTCTGTTTTGTCCCCTAGAGCTCAGCAATGACTATCATTTCATGAGTTTCTGACCTTTAGAAACTGTCAAAACCTGTCAGATTCCTCTTTTGTATATAAACCTTGGATATACACAGAAAAAGAGAGATAGAAAGCAAGCAAAACAGAGAGAGTGTCCTATTGATAAAACTAAGGTTATTAAGAAGAACACCCTTAGGTAAAGCTACTCTAGATAACTGCATCCTTTAGCTTGCACTTTACAGTCCTGGTTGATTCATTAAACCTTGTTATCAACTAAATCTGCTGAAGACATTTTTGCAATGGTAGAAGCCAACATCATTTACAGTACCAAACCTACCCAGCTTCTGAGCTGCAGAATATGGTCATTTAGATGAATATATCACTGCAGAAAGCACGTCCTTCTTCTGGAGCTCATGACCACAGCCTTGCTTTAACCCTTGCACAGCGCTGCTTTATCTTGGCTCCAAGCCAGAGAAATATGTTTCTCCGACCCACAGTCATGATGCACTGCCTTTTCTTTCTCCTTGAAAGCTTTTATTTTGATTTTCACGCTGCCTTATTCCCTGATGAAATAACATACCTGTCCGAGAGTCCACAGAGAAATATGGTTGTCCTTGGAGAATACTGTACACTACTCTTGCGCTGTTCCCGTAGGTTGGGTCATCAGCATCTGTCGCTGTCACCTGGATAACAGAAGTGCCTGACAAAAAAACCCATCAGGTAAGGCCTTGTGGCATAAAGAGCTGGAATGAAAAGTACACAATTCAAAATAAATGAAAATGCCTAACAAGAGCTTTCCCACACCAAACTTCCTCATTTGATGCTCACAGTGCTTGCACTTATAGCTCATACTTGTATTTCATTAGCATAAAGAAATTAATAGGCATAAATTCATCATGCATCTATAAGAAGATATAAAAGAGCAAGTACTCTATGGACCACAGTTAGAGAATAGCTGACCTAGCAGTACTTTGTTATGGTTTGCAGAGAGCTGGTAGTTAGATATTACTTGCTGCTTTTCCACTTTTCTTGATTTTAAATGTTATTTAAGGGCAGCCTGAACAAGATCTATAGCTATGCTGACATAAATGTTGGACTGCTTTAGCCAGCCCAGGGATGCTTATGTTGACTAAGGGATGGAATTGTACACGCACAGTGAGCGTGAAGGGATGTATCTCTGAGATAATCTCTCTGTGGGATTGCAGTTTACACTGCACAGCCTAGAGATTATACCCCACTGAAGAGCCTTTCGGTACCCGCACAGACACAGATATATTTCTTCAATAGGTTTTCAAGGTCTGCTTCCTCTGAAGCTAATAATGCAGGTGATGTAATTTGTCAAGAACAAGGAGAAGGTAAGGCATAACTGTTTGAAATATATGTGAGTTTTGACTCCTTAAAATGTCAGACAATGCCTTTATGGATGTATCTAGCCTTCTACATGAAGTTTTATGTTAGCAGCAAATCCAGTGTTACTAGATAGGCACTGGAAAATACATCTAAATTCAAGCTAACCATTACCATTAAGAAACATTATTTTTGAATGGAGCTTTGATATTTGATGCCTGTTTCTTGCTTTATGTCAGCATAATGTTGAAGAATGAGGAGTTGAGCGTAAACATCTGAAAAAATTTACTGTGAGAGTGACAGAGCCCTGGGACAGGCTGCCCAGAGAGGTTGTGGAGTCTCCTTCGCTGAAGACATTCAAAACCTGCCTGGACACGTTCCTGTGTGATGTGCTCTGGGTGATCCTGCTCTGGCAGTGGGGTTGGACTTGATGATCTTTTGAGGTCCCTTCCAACCCCTAAGATTCTGTGTGATTCTGTGAAGCATATCTGTAACTTCAGGACGTGATTTATGTACGTGGTATCCGTGATTACAGATTATCTCTGTAATGATGTCGTGGAGGCAAAAAACAACAAGCATCTCCAAAAGAAATAAAAAAGTCCAGAAAAACAGTATTTTATGAAACTATCGTATTTGTTACATGGAAATGGTTTCTTCTGACTTGTGTAATTAGGAATACTGCTGTTTATCTTTTCCATTACAATAACATGACTGTCTTTGACATGATCCCATTCTCTAAAAGTGGAAAGCAAATGGTACAAGAACTTTGGGATCCACTTGAACTGTCTTTAGTGTAGGTTTAAACAGATTAGAAAGAAGAAATCTGCTAATAATTGTTATCAAGTCTCCATGATTTCAAGGGCTCCTAGACAGTATTTCAGCTCTCAGTACAAACTAGAACAGCTTCCTAAAACTATATTCTTTTCTGGATGGTAATGCATGTCTAATGGTCATTACTCCTGCTATCATCTGATGGCAGGGTAGATGGGGTACTATGTTACTGCAAGTTGTCCGGGGATTGCATGTACAAATTACGTATTTTTTTCAGTGCTCCTGCTTCCCCTGGCATGTTTTCTTTCAGAGGGGCCCAGCTGATGGTGGTATAAATCTCTATATCCCACTTCTGTGGCAGTCAGGCCCCCCAAAAGAAGCTCTCCTGTTGTGCAGCTCCTGTATAAGGGGCAAAAACTGAGTCTAAGAGTCTAAGGAGTGAGGGAATTTGTGTTTTGGTGACCAACCCCAATATACTTATAGAAAAAAGAGACTCCACAAAATTTGCCTTACCCACAGGTGACATTTCTGGAACAGAGGCCACATAAGGTCCATCCAGAAACTTGGGTTCATTGTCATTGATGTCCTGGATTTTGATGATGAATTCTGACTCTGGTTCCATTGGCCGGCCTGTACGCCTGTCCAGAGCTTGTGCTCTCAGGGTGTACTGTGACCTTTCTTCGCGGTCCAGTCGCTGAATGGCATGAATGTCCCCTGTCGTGTCATCAATTGTAAACACAATGCCAGCTCCCTCTCCTGAGAGGATGTATTTGATCGAACCATCTCCCCTGTCCATGTCAGAGTGGAGCTGTGGAGCCAAACAGGATTCAGTTAGACCATGAGCTGGACAAGCAGATGTTAAGAAACACCAAGCACGTGAGCATCCTGAGCATTTTGGTCTCAGTGTTGGGACTCACAAACTGGTTTTAATGAACTTGGTTTGCTGAGAGAAGCAAATACCCAGTAACGTCTGTATCACAGAGTTGCAACAAAAATCCCTCTCCTGTTTTCCCATTTCTGCATCCACAGCTGTGTCAGAAGAAAAGGCAGAGACACCCAAACAGGAACAGGCTCTGTATCTTCTTGAAATCTCACTCAACATAATAATTACGTTTTGCCTGGTTGCAATGGCCATTGAGAAGGACTCACTGCCAGGCTTGGGAAAAGGTGAGGTCAGCAAAGCAGCAGGCTGTGCTTGCTCACGTGGCTTAAGAGGAGTCAGATACTCCAGGGGTAGCATAATGTTGTGGCAGATAAGGCAAACCTGTTTGGGATCAAGAGGAAACCAGGATGGGACAGCTACTCAGTAACTGTCACTATTCAAATTCCCTTAATTTTTTTTCCATGGACATTTTTACAATAAAAATTAGGCTGGATCCTTGCATCTTCAGGAAAGAATTATTGTCAAACAATAGGAAAGGTACACAGCAAGGAAAGTTTGATTATGTCCACGGCAGGTTATAGAGATGACAGGCATCCCAGATTTTCTAAGGAGCTAGCAAATGGATTTATTGCATGACTGCTAATTAGTTCTGAGCAGCCACAAATAGCTGAATGCAACAGAACAGAAGAAAAGTAAATGCTCTGCTAATTATAAACTAAAATAGAGAAACAAATAATACTGGGAATTACCATTCTCTTAAAACACCTGGTTCCCATGAAATACTGGACTGACTATCAAAAGACAAACAAATCACTTAATTTCTCTCACACTATGAAGATGCTTAACAGTATGCTCACACTTACATGCTTTTGAGGAACAAAGCATAAAACCCAATGCCTAGAGATGATATTGCTCACTCTCAAAAGCCAGGAAGGCAATAGCCTTGAGATGCAATAGTCAAAACGGGATTTTCAGGAATGGTTCAGGTGTGAATACTGTTTTCTATTGTAATTATAATTAAAAAAAAAAAAAAAAGAAGAATAGATAATTAATTTTTTTTTAAAGTAATCAAAATGGGCTGGATTCAGTTAAGGAAATTTTAAAAGGCATACAAGAGATAATTATCTCAAGAAATATGGTCAGAATTAAGTGTGTTTCATGCTCTGGTGAGCTCAAAGGACATATAGGTACAATTGTGGAGGATGAGGCCAAACAGTTAAATATTTGTAGTGGAGAGAAAAATCTTGGAATAATAAATGGGATATATAAACACAGGATTAGTAGGATTTGAAGAAAGAATCCAAATAGAAATGGACAAACGGGCTCATCTGACCTAAGCATTTCTAATGCTTGCAGACTGGCTCTTCAGATTTTTTAGGGCACATAGTCCCATTGACCTAGGAGGTGAAAGACCATTTCTCCCAGTGGAGGGTCTGACTGCCACATGCTCAGCCCCCAGAGGCTGTTTGCCTAACAAGCCTCTCAGAGCACATCACTTGACCTACACAAAATTTGGGCCTGCTCCTGATTTTAGTGTAAGACTGATTTCAGCTGAGGTGGGATCTAGGTGGTTTTCTATGGCACGTCTCACCCTGCAAACAGGTCTGTATGTGGTGGCCTATTGAGTCTTAATGACTGCTGGGACCCCAAGTGTTAAGGGCAGCAGACTGCAAAGCAGCTGCAAGAACTGAAGGTGCAGGTTGTGACCTCATGTTAGGTCACTGATATTCCGTTTCATCACTTTCCCACTGGTTTCTGCCGTATCTACAGCATCTGAGAGGCATCAGTCCTTTGAGGAATGCTGGCAGCTCTCAGGTGATGTGTCAGATAAATGGAGGAAGAAAAAGCCCAGAAAAATTTGGCAGTGGCAAACAGTTAAATTTAGACGACTGCCATGTGTATTAATTCACATGGAGGTGCCAGGACTGCAAACCAGCATATTTTCAGGAACCACCATCTCGTGATTAGTTTAAAAAAAGACAGCTGTCATCGTTTACCCTAAACACCCATAACTCAGAGGTTATCATTGTAGGAGCTGGTAAACAGGATGCTTCCAGAAAGAAGACACTATTATAGCTTTTCAAATTGATTCAGAACCACTAAGCTACATCTTGGGCATTTGCTTTACTGCATCAGCATGTTAGCGGGAGAATGCAGCTGCTGAGACAGATACAGATGTTAAACCTGGTTGGGGAATTAGAGCTAGGCCTGATGGAAGAAAATGTGTTTTGGAACATCAACAAGTCCCCATTAAATAAGAAAAAGGAAAGAAAAAGAAAGAAGAAGTCAAAGTCAAACAGAAAGTCAAAGGTAAAGAAAAATGAAAAAGATACAGAAAAAAAGGGAAAAAAAAGGAAGAAAGAAGAAAGCATCTTTTGAAATAACAGAAGGTGTTTAGAAAATTCAGAAGACTCTGTGGAAGATACTGAATTGAACTCATGGGTTGAATTACACCTTCTGTCCAAAGCCCTATTTGGAATGAATGCAGTTGTGTAGGGAGCAAACAAGGAATGAACATGGCACACTAATAAGAAATTGGGAGTACAAGAGGATCTCTGTCTAACTGTAATTTGTTAAAAACATTGGGTCTCAACCAACGCTAGGCAATAAGAAATGCTAGCAGTAGTTTTGTAGCTTCTTCTTTCTAGACAAAATGAAAAAGACCACAAAAGATAATACTGCCAGACTGCAAGAAAATGGAAAGGATTTGGTGTCTGAAGGGACTGAGGCTCACACCATTGCTCACACCAAACCCAATATGAAGATGTTGCAGCTTGGGGTGTACGTAGAAGACACTGTGTTGGAAAGGTGATCCATTTTTAACTTAGCTCTGTTTTATGGATGGTGCAATAAATTGTGCTGCCATGTGGCTGACAGAGAAGTAGGAGGTATTAATTTGCACTTTCTCCTCCATATTAAGGAATGGACTATGGGAGGAATGAAGCAGATAACTCTTGAGAAATTAACTGTGTCAACCTGGGTTGCTTCTTTTGATGAGGATAGTACAAATGTTTAAGGAGGCTACGTTTGCATGTGAATGGTGCATTTCTCGGCAAGGGGCAAGTGGAAGAGACTCTTGCTGCTGAGGAGAGCTTAGGGGAGGACTTGTGCAGCTCTGATAACCCAGCAGTGACTCCATCTTTGCCATGCTCTCCCTTCTCTGCCTCCAGGGAGGTAGAACATGCAGGGGATTTTTGTGGGAATGTGTGAGTGAGTTTGGTTGGTCCAAAGTGGTAGTCTGCAAAAAGGATGCATTGTATTCACTCATCCAGCTGCTGTAGTTTGAATGGTTCCTTCCTTTGAAAAAAGGTTAGGGAGTCTCCAACATGGCTAAGAGATGAAGCCTGTCCCCAGTTCAATTACTGATGCAGTTTACCTGCTGGATGAATGTGGAAAATACCTGCTGTAGCAAACATGGGGGCTTTGATTTCCCTAGTTCATCCTATTAACCAGTAATGGCTACCTCTAGGAAAAGCAGAAAACTCATATTTAGTTGTGACAGAACCAGGAACCCTCTGAAGCTAAAATATTTTCAATTAGGATCATGAGCACTGGAGAAAAGCAAAAATTGTACTGACCTCATCTCAGGAAGTTTCTTTTAATTTCCCTGTCCAGAATATATTTTACGCCTTGCCTTACAGTTATGTAGGAAACTACATTTTTCATCCGAGCCTTAAAAATCATATTAGGCAAACCCAGACTCAGACACAGGTCAAGGTGCTTTTTGCGTTGCTCCAGATATACAGTGAAACAGCCTGTACCAGAGCATCAGAAGAACCTGTCTCTTGTAGGAAGCCTTTAGAGTATTACAGTAAATACAGCTGGATCTGTGCTATGCAATTTTTCTCCTTCTGACATGGGCTTGGAGAGAGGAGATAGATAAAAGCAAGGCCTGGCTAGCAGGATGTTTCAGGGTGTCATGGGTGGTATCAGTTAGAAGAGGCTCTGCCTGTCCAGGCTTGGGGCTCAGGGCTATTTTTGGGGCTGGTGCTAGCAGTGAGCAGCAGGCTGGGAGTCCTTCTGCAGCCCTGCCCAGCTATTTCTGAGTCAGCCTGGGGTGACTTGGTCTAAAAAATTTCTGGCCTGCCAGAACAATTAATTCAGCCCACAGCCTATTTTCTGCTGACCCCTTTCCTAAGGATCCCTAAGGCAGGGCGATGAATCATGGTGGGCTGCAGCTTCTTCCAAGGGCCTGTGCCTTTGGCTCTGTGAGATGCGGGGAAGCCTTTCCCTCTCAGCAGCCCCAGCTGCATTCATCCCACTGCTTGGCTGGCTGCTCTGCACGCAGCTCAGTGATGGGAGAAGATTAAATATTTGACTTCCAGATGCCTATTTGGGCCGCAGAGTTCCCTAGTGTCTGGTCTACACGGAGCAGGGCAGAGCTAGGAGGCCTTCAGAGCCACTCAGTTATGTCAGCTCAGCAGTGCGTGGGACTGACAGGCTGTGTTAACAGTGGGAGCTAATTAGCCCTTGCACACCCATACCTAACACAGCCATGGCGTAGGTGGTCCTGGAGAGGGCTCATTCCTGGCAGCTTGGGCTTTGTGTGGTGGACACAGACCATGAAGAGTCTCTGCTTTGCCCCATTTAGAGGAGATGACAAGAAGCAAGTTCAAGAGCCTTGATCAATCACCCCAAGTTTTTGTACTCCTAATGACACAATCAAATCTAAACCAATGATGAGTTTGTTTCTTCCAGTGCTTGCTTTAGCTGGAGTTCAGCTCACAGTGCAAGTCTGGAGTTCTTTCAGGTGGGACAGGTTATGTGAAATAATATGTCTGGCCCTTGTTCTAAAGCTGGGAATTGCATGAAACTAAATATTAATTTATTTAATCAGTAGAGATATCAGAGCTGAAAAGCTAGGTGCAGAGATGAATGAAGACTAATGAGGTCTCATTTGACAGCAATCACTAGTCATGCCATGGCTGTGGGAGGAGGAAGAACACATCTTTCTGTCAGTCACACAGTGATAAATCAGGAGGAAGTCTTTTGAAGCTGTGGATTCATTTTGTTTTATACTGGTGTGACTGAGGACACAATTTAGCTCTATGACATGGGGTTGCAGAATGGTAAGTAAAAGTCCAAAATGGGTCTCCAGATATGTCGTTCTTTTTTTTTTTTAAAAAATTTTATTTCTGCAGATGGATGGCTTGGAAGGATAAAGAAGGAGCCTTGATAATATAAAAAATCATAATGAAATCTGAAGGTACTGTTTTATGACATCCCTTCTTAGTTTTTAATTTTTCATATGTAGTCTGCAGTCATCATAGCAGTATCTGATATTTGAGGCATGTAAAATCTTAGTTGTACTGTTCAAACACTTCAGCACACTCAGTCTACCCCTTCCCACTTTTTCCAGATTCGTCTGCACCTTGGTGTAGACTAGAAGCATAACTCTTTGCATACAGGATCAATATTTTAAACAATTTAGAGTGTTTTAGAGTGAGACAAAGGAGGATGGTTACAGTGAGGCAGACTGTGATGGGAGACATCACTGGTCAGATTTCCATCAGCTTGTTTCTCAAGAAGCTACAGAAAAGTGAATGCAAAATATTACCAAGTAGATGGGATGAATTTACAGGTCCAGTTTACACTTACCTGTATATTTTTAGAGTATAAGACATCAGAAAAAGGGGCCCTTTGTGACTGGATTTATTGAGCTGTCCACCTACCCTTCTCAATCTGGAGTAACTTCTCTATCATCCACAGAATTAACCTGCAGTCAAGCTTTAGCAAGCAAGAAGATAGCCTGAACTTAGAGATTTGCAGAAAACAAAAATTGAAATGTCAGTTTCCAAGTGAAACTGGCTGTTTCATCTGATTTGTGAGTTTCAGCTTCCAGCTGACTTGATCACAAACTCTTCCCTTCTTTCCTAATCCTCACATGTCAATATAACCTTGCTTTGCCTTGACATTGTCGAAGTTCCTAAAAAGACCGCTGCAGATTTTCTAACACTGCCTCAATTACAGATTATGATTGGTGAAGCAGATCTCTGCAAAATAGGCAAATATATTGACAGCCCCTTGAAACAGAAATTTTTCCCGAGAAAAGATGACACTGGTCAAAAGCTCTTTGGAGCAGAAGTGAAATGAATGTGGGTAAGTTAACTGCCAGAAAGAAGGTAAAGGCACTTAGGAAAATTTCCTTATTTCACCATGGTGCACAGATACACTCTGACAGAGATTCTCCTGGTACAGGTCTTACCTTCCCAACATAGAGAGGGTCAGATCCTGTGTACTCCTCCAGAACAAAGAACTGGTTCCACACCCAGCTCCGCTTCATGCGCTGATGCAGCTTGTCTGACAGGTTGTCTTCTTGCCCTTCAGCGAGGGGCCTGGCACTTCCTGACAGCACAGTTGTTGTAAGGTCCATCAGTCCCCAAAAATACAAGGAGACACCAAGTCCAAGCAAGTTCTTTGCATTGCTCATTCTACCTGAAGTCCACATCTGTAGGTAGGGCTGCCTTAAAAGTCAAAGGATCCGTTGAGAAGGAAGTAGGTCCTCTGTGTAGTCCTTTGAAATGTCCAAGTGAGATCCTGGATCTGAGAATGGCAGTCTCCTGTGAAGTTAAACAAAATGCATGGCAGGACTTTTTTTTTTCCCCAAGGTAAAAGAGTTTCCTCAACAGGCAAATACTCTATAAAATATTAAACCTTGTATATAAAAATATACTATCAGTATGCACAACTCCTGAAACTAGAAATACTATCACCATATTAGCTGCAGAACTGTAGCCTTAGACACAAGAATCTCCAGGTTGTAGTTGATAAATATCAGTTCTCTACTTTGCTAATTTAACTGTAGTATTGCTTTATGATATTGACTGGCATGAGTTAAGTGGGTACTCTTTAGAAATTTTTATAACCAGAAGTCCTTAGAGAATATTTAAAAACAGTTCACTCTGAAAATTTATTTTTGCAACTGTCCTTTTCTTTCTGTTTGAAAACTACGTCATTGTCATTGCACACACCGGCACACACACGCATCTACATAAATACTGATATTATTGCTATATTGCAAACCTTAAATAAAATTTCTAGCAGCTCCCAGTTATTTCTAATTTTAATATTCTTTCAACCTCTCTGTTGCTTGAATTCAGGTTTCACACTCTGCTGCATTCTCTCTGAGGAGCTGATTGTGGCTACAAATGCAACATTTATAGAATTTGAATGGTCAGTTAATCATTTTATAACCCACAAAAAGTTTCATAGTGCTGACAGTCACAAGTTATTACGTGATATGTCCAAGGAAGTCAAGCCAACACATTTTTTCTTCCATAAGCCTGAAAGACCTGTTTAGGCAGTGGAATGCTGACCTCTACCAGAGGACACTTTCTCATCAGTCTAGGAGCTTTTGTTGTCATGAAGTCAGTTTAGCTGGTGACCTCATTCCAGTTGAATTGTAGCAAACTTTTCCTTCATCAATTTGCTGAGTTTAGTGATGTGATGCTGCATTTTTGGTACTCTGTCAAAACACTTCATACATCCTCTGTGGACTTTTCTTTTTAAGAACTAATCTCTTTTCAGGAGAAACAGGCTCATTAAGAAAGGTGTATGGGGCTCTGAGGCTTAAGCAAATAGTTCACACTTCATTTTACTGCTGTTCTGTATGTAAGTCTTTAGACATAATTACTTGTTTTATCCTGTGGAAATAAAATGTAGTGGGAGATGTCAAATATTTCTAGTTGAAATTATTGAAAGATTTCAAAATAATAAAAAATATTATAAAGGCTTGCATTGTACTATTTTGAAGTGAAGACTGAGACAATGAAATGTTTTCAACAGAGAAGAAGAGAATGTTTCAAAATGGCCCAGCATCCAAGCTGGTACAACCAAAGGACTAGATGTGCTTAGAAATCTACTGAAACAGAAATTCAGTATTTAATCAAAAAGTTGGCTGAAATCTGAAAATGACAGCTTAAGGCTGGAATACGTGTCCACAGGGGAAGTAAAGACAGAATGACTCTCTTAGACAAATCTATACACAAAATAATGTTTCCAAGTACAAAGCCCAGAAGCAATAAGACTGCACAGTCCTGCTATTCTATACAGCTGTGAAGTGTAGCAGGCAGGTCCTTTACCCTGAAAAGTTTACAACTTAAGTCTCAATAGATACAACAAAGAAAGGACAAACTGCAAGCACAGAACATGGCAAATCCCTTCTAAGCAGAGCAATGTACAGAACTGCTGGTTGTTCAGACATTGGCTATGTAATGTGCTAGGGCTTATTGTCTGCAAAGCCAAAGAAATGGGGATTTATCTAAGCAGCATAAGCCCAGAAGGACCACAGTAATCTTTGTGTGTCTGTCACTGCATGAAGAAGCTGGCAGCTGTTTGTGAGCGGCAGGAACAAGGCTCACCTTGCTGGATAGCTACAGCCAAAGGAGAGCTGTATGTGCAGTGCTTGCCTCTCTCTGTCCCATGAGTCCTTAAATCCCACTAGCCATTATACACTCACACTGGGAAAAGGAGATTGAAGTCCTCTTTCCACAAGGTGTATCCACATTGCTCTGGACATGAGCCGGTAATGTGCCCTTGCAGCCCAGAAAGGCAACCATATCCTGGGCTGCATTAAAAGTGTGTCCAGCAGGTCAAGGGAGGTGATACTCCCTCTCTACTCTGCTCTGGTGAGTGTCCAATTCTGGGGTCCCAAACACAGGAAGGATATGGACCTGTTGGAGCAAGTCCAGAGGAGGGCCACGAAGATGATCAGAGGTCTGGAGCACCTCTCCTGTGAGGAAAGGCTGAGTTGGGGTTGTTCAGCCTGGGAAAGGGAAGGTTCCCTTATTGTGGCCTTTCAGCATTTAAAGGGGGCTAACAGGATGGGGACAGACTTTTTAGAAGAGCCTGTTGTGATAGGACAAGGGGTAATGACTTTAAACTACAAGAGGGTAGATTTAGACTGAATATAAGGAAGAAAGTTTTTACAGCAATTAAACACTGGAACATGTTGCCCAGAGAGGTAGTTCAGGTCCCATCCCTGGCAGCATTCAAGGTCAGGTTGGACAAGGCTCTGAGCAACCTAGCCTAGTTGAAGATGTCCCTGCTTACTGCAGGGGGGGGTGGACTAGATGATTATTAAATGTCATTTCCAATCCAAACTATTCTATGTTGTCAAGAGAATTTTTTTCTCAGGGGGACATTTTTCACAACCCATGTTTTGCTGGTGAGTGAATGAATGTAAGGAAGGGTCTCCCACCACCCCTCAACATGAACTGAGGGAACCCAGCAACAGGAAGGGAAAGCAGAGCCAGACAACTGCTAAGGTCCCACCTGGAGTTTTTACTTTAAGAAAATCCATCTACTGTACAAGTCAGTTACGTTTTTGCCCATGTGACAAAAGAGGTGATACAACATGATAGACCAATCACAGTGGCAGAGAGAATTGTTTTTGTAGGTAAACTCCCAAACCACAGATTTAAAACTAATGGTGCCAGCTGTCTCCTGCCATTAAGTTCAGGCAAAAGGGATCAACAGCATTCAGGCAAGGCAGTATCAAGACATGGTTAAATAGACTTGCATAGTTACCAGTATATCTGTAATGAGGCAATAGCAAAAGAAATCTGATCATCAGGATGCTTTTTCAGCGACTGTGCATTTCATCAGCAGAAAGCAAAGTAAGTAGAAGCAGTGAAATAAAGGTCAAGAGTAGGGACATACATGCTTCAGGTTCTCTGTGATAATAGTTTTTGTCATTTGAATGTCACTTAGCATCAAGGTGCAGTTCCATGAGGAACCTTTCTTGAAAATAGTGTGCAACTCGGTGGCCCCCAGGAGCAACATCCCTAAGAGCATTTTCTATTCCAAATGCAATGTCATTTTGGAATATAGCAACTACTAGGAAGTAGTAGAAGAAGTACAGTAATTCCTGAGTACCAGTAATTTCTGCATTTAATGCCAGCCCATGGTGACACAATAATATCATTTTGCAGGAATGGAAGAAAGCACTAGTGGTGATGTGGCACTTTTTTTTTTTTTTTTGGTGTGTGTGTTAATAACAGGGTTTCTGGTGTCTCATGCCTTTTGAAAACTGTGAGCAAGCAGGCTTAAAATTGACACAATTTGCTTCTTGCCTGAAGGCAAATTAATACTATTAATTACACTGTTTAACAAGGAATTGTTCCTCCATCTCTGAGCCCAAAATATTATTTTTTTTACTGCCTCAGGTCCTCAGCTGGTATTAAAAAAATGAAAATCACCTTTGTTTAATTCTGGCTTGTTGTGCTGCTGATCTCTCTGGGGCTCCTTTCCTGCAGCTTCACAAACAACCTGCAGGTATGTACTATTGGTCTCTGGATCTGCAAGTCCTACTGGTCACGCAAGGTATTTCTGAGCAGTATAGAAGGAGCTCATGTACATTTAGGGTCTGAATTGCGTGGTAGCACGAGTGAGGGCTGAGCTACAGCGAAGGTCATGGACAACTGAGCCTTTCAGATGATTCATGCTGATGGCTTCCTCACCATCTGAGTGTGATGGATAAGTATGTGGTCACTTAGACTGTAGACATGACAGACTGTTAGGATGCTGTATGCTGTGACTACATTAGCTTGGTGGGATCTCTAAGCCTCAAGTGGACCTTTGTGGATTTTGCTGCAGATGGATGACACAGACTTTGAGCTGGAGTCTGTTCTGCCTAAGACTGTGTAGTTCCTTGCAGGGTGATCACAGGGACCAGACATACAAGGCACTTGTTGCCATCACTGAGTGAGGCAGAACTGAATCTTTTATGTTCTTTTAATGCAAGTTGCTTCTTGTAGCTCTCCAAAATGGTTTCTTAATGACAAATGCAAAGATGAAATTGATAAGCCTCTGCTTGTCATATGAACTACATTATAGAAACATATTTTATGGTTTAGCATGGGGATGTGCAAAGGATTTGAAGGCAGAAAAGGGAGGGAAATACTGTTTTCCTTTCTGTGGGATTTTTGCAGAGCATTTTATCTTTCAAGAACAAATGAAATGTTTCAAAGCCCAGTTTGTTACCCACAGATGAGTCCCCCATTGTAATAGGCTTTTCTGCATCTGTGCAGTTTAGATTTCTGACCCAAAGTGAATGGGTTTCTTGCCCCTGCTTTTGTGATGAATATTTGATTACCAGCTCAGTTGTTCGGGTTACTTTCTCTGTTCTTGCCTTGCTGACATTTCTGAAAATCCTTTTTCCTGTCACTCAACAGTTACAAATATGGCTTTTGGCTTCATAAAGACCCATGAAGATCTGATTGAACTCTGTGCAACTGGTGGTCCCTGCACAGTTCAAAGGAATTACCTAATTGTTCTACACAAAAGAGTCACAGTAATGCACTTTCCACCACTGCAAACACAAATTTCCCTTTTAGCTCACATTATGGATTAAAGTAGGCATATTCCATGTGTGAGCTACTCTTCATGCTCCAATTTTAAACACTCCTCCCAACACATATTTGTACTACAATTAAACTATTCTTAATTGAATATATAATTGTGGGCAAAGATGAAAAGGAAAAAGAAATATCTGCCAGAACCAACTCCTAGCATTTCTTGCAAGTGACCCATTTATCTTGTTAATTCTGAAGAGAATAGC